TTTTTTCCTAAGATTGATATGAGAGGGGATAAAAACCTACTTGTTTCTTTTTGTCTCCTTTTGTGAATCTAATAAGGAAAATTAAATCTCCCTTTCTAATATTTGCAATTCTAAATTAATAAACAAGTGAGAAACTATAGAAAATAGTGCTTCCATATTAATGCCTCATGAACAAAGCCAATTACATTAAAAGTAGAGCAAACCGAATTTTCACTCTTATTTCTCCCTGTCCAACTGATAAGGTGTCACATTAACTCTCCCAAATTAAATTAACTGTAGCCACTTAATTGCATTTATTTGTTTCACAAATACTTCTTTACTATCTTACATTTTTGAATCATACAAAACAAGACCACTCATAAATATAATTAACCCTCCATGTATCACCCTATTTCTCTGTTCACTATAACTTTAAGGCTACAACTTACCAATATTTCTCCACTTTCTCACCCTGATGTCACTCTCCCCTAGTTTGTCTTTCTCTGATCAATCCATTATATGGATTTGCTTTTGTCAAGTTCACCAATGCCCTCCCTGTTAAGTAATTAAATAGGCCTCCTTCTGTGCCTATCTAATGGTACTTCTCAGGAATATTGATTCCAATTCGGCATTTCCAAAATCTTGAAACACTGTCATTTTTTTTATTTCAGAAAAACTGCACTTATGGCATACACTTGGTTTAACCCTGATATATTTTCTACATTCTTTTCTTAAATATTATTTTTCAGAATAATGGTCTTAAGCATTGTCTGTAAAGTAATGAATCCCAAAAGGAAGCTAAGCTTCACTGAGCTACTTTCCACATGCTCACTCTTCATACATTCTTTGGTCAGTGCAAGATCTCTTCTTTTCCTCCTACGTTTTCCACGCTACTCCTATTGTCCTAGTTTATCTCCTCAGTGATTTTGGCATACATTTTTGTATAATTTTCTTTGAAAATAGATGTGATTATTTAGTGATATTATGTGTTTCAACTTAAATATATTTTATTGTGTTAATGACCTCACTCTCTTGCTTACTTTCTCATTCAACACTTTAGGATGGGTTTATCTTGGGCTTTACATTTAATATTTATTGATTTTGATTTATATTAATTGTTTCAAAATTTGTAAGTTGGCTAGATACAATTTTGTTTGAAAACTTGCATCTTGTAACTCCACAACTCACAAAAATCAGTTATGTTTCTATGTACTATCCATGTACAATCTGACATGGAAAATAAGAAAATAATCTTCTTTACAATATTATAA